GCCAGGCCAGGAATATATTTGTTTCTCCCTGCCACATGCTATAATTATGGCAACCGAACAGAACACAAAAAAAACATCAGATAGCAATGGAATTTTGCAATCTATAGGCCTGGAGCTGCAACTCTAAAAGCCCCTAAGTTAATCTGGCCTCATTATTAAATGCTGGGTGGTTAGTCAAGTGACTGACAAGCAAGAACAAAGTCAACAAAACCAAGTGGTGAACAACAAGGTCCTACTCAGATGAGGTTAAAATCAATATTCTTGCATTAACAAGTGGGTTTAAGATTGATATCAGACTTTTGGAATTTATAAGAACACTTTGTGCTTATCTTGCATATCCTGTGCTCAAACCAAATTCCACATCCCCTCTCTATTATCTACTTCATTTAGATAATGCCAACCCTATCTAATTATGTGCAATCCATCAAAGGATGATAGAAAGATTGTAACAAAGTGTAAAATCAGCTCAGTGCCTTGACTTTGTTGTTGGTGCTAATATGTCCCAAGACAGCGTGGTCATCTCCAGCCCCTCTCAACAAGCTAGATCTACACTTTTATTTACATGATGTCTATGGAGAACCCAGGAGACAGAAAACTCCTTGGTTGATATAATCAGCAGAGGTTACATATTCTGTTAGATTAAAAATAACGCTCTTCACTACTATACCCTGCCTAACCTTCTCTGCTTTCTGAGTCATGTCCGTACAAGAGGAGGTATTCATTTGGCTGGAAGATGGCCCAGCTTCCCCCAGCACAGGCACTTCTGAGAAGAAACTTCCAACACCTTCATACAAACCAGCAAATCTGCTTACATTGACCGAACCAGGACTGTCCATTTTTATCTTCTACTATCCTCTTGGGGAACATCTATCTTACTAGAGCAGAGTTACGGATTTTATTTATTTTTTTTAAACTGGCATATGTAATGACCCATCCAATTTGTGCCACTAGTGGGAGTTCCTATAGATATTTTATTACTGTACTTCAGAGCTGGCTTAAGGTTGCCTAGGCCCTAAGCAGGGTGCCAGATTGGGTCCCCCAGAGACTTTGTTTCTGTGAGTGGCATGTGTAGTGAATGAGTGGTGCGTCTGTGTGAGGAGGTGACTGATAGCTGTATGGGGGTGGGTGTGTTTGTGTGTGCTGGTTGAGAGTTGTGGGTATGGTGGCTGATTTTGTGTGTGTGTGGGTGAGTCTGAGTGTGGCTGAGTGAGTGTGTATGTTTTGGAAACCCCCTTGCTTACCTTCCTTGGAGGTCTATTAACGGGTGAACTGGGTCCCTGGTGGTACAGCGGAGGGTGAACTGGGTCTCTTTCGGTCCAGTGAATGGTGAGCAGAATCCCTTTGGAGGATGTGCTGGGTCCCTGGTGGTTCAGTGCGCAAGCTATACTGCCTCTACTAATATCAGATACAGACTACTTTAAGATAGCTGTTCTGGTTCTGGCACTCAGTCAATGACTCAGAGTTCCAGCTGTGGTGCTGGAACCAAAAAGGTCATCAAAAAGCATCAGGGGGACCATGAGGGCACTCTTAAAGTGGTCTATATTTGAAGTCAGAAGAGCAGGGCGGTGTGGGGAGATATTTAATTGGCTTGATGAGGGCCAGCTGTGGGCTGCAGCTCCAGGTCCAGTCAGGGGCCTATGTCTGAGCCTGGCCTTAGGCAGCTGTCTTGGTCGCTTAATGGGTAATCCAGCTCTATTGTACTCAGAAATTTCTAGATATTATTTTCTGGCATGCTTTCCAACTGTCCCACTTTGGTGGGACATACATAATTTTGGGGTGCTGTCCCGCGGTCACTTTAATTCCCTGGTGTCTACGCTTACGTTGTGCAGTGGACATTAGCAACATGCAGGGAGTGATTCAGCAGCGCTCCCTGCATGGCCCTGATGGCTGGGGGCCGGCCAGGCTGCCTATCATTTGTGGGTTCCAGCAATTTTTCAGGCAAGTATGCCCTCTTTTCTGATGAGACCACCCATTGTGGATGTCACTAGTGACATGGCTACATACACTGGCAACGTCATCTCAGGACTCCCTTCTCCCCACTCCCTGGTCAATTTAGGGGAGAAATTGGCTGCTATGTTTCTGCTATTATAATGAAAAACATATTTAAATGAACATCTTTAGGCACTATAACCATTTAATTTCATTTCAATTCACTTATAGTGGTTCATATTGAAACCAAATCAATTATAGCAAAATGCTACAAGTAGATTTAATTGAATAGTGACAGAGATCACCTTTGCGCTACAGACTACACGTTTGGCTACTTAGTTAAGGTTCGTGGTTTGTGCCTTTAACCCCTTAAGGACCAAACTTCTGGAACAAAAGGGAATCATGACATGTCACACATGTCATGTGTCTTTTAGGGGTTAAAGATGTCTTTGCTGATGGATGTTGCAGGTCATTTGCATGTGCATACTGCTGGGCCATGTAAAACGTTCACCCTGTTGAGGGCCCTTTAAATCACAACTGCAACTTTACCCTGTAGTTAGTTACTAAAACTGTGGTTTCTGTGGATCACATCTCTGGTCCTAAGGAGACAAATTGAGCTGCCAAAAAATGCCCAGGAATGTCTCAACAGTATACTGACACACGCTGCCAAGTGGAATAATTTAATAAGAAAAAGATAAACACTATTTAAAACAGTAAAAAGCTTAAAAAAATAAAACTTTCTTAACTAACTGGCCACTAAGGTTAATTAAAACAGCACTCAGGCTGGAATGGCAAGTTACATAGATGCTAAATTCACTGGGTGTTATTCTCTAAACCAGGAATTGTGTAGAAATGACACAGGAATTGTACATGGCCAAACTGAAAATGTTCTCTAACTCAGCAATTTTAGACTATAATTTAATATCCCTATGTTCATTATCAACAATTCCTGGTTTTATGAATTAGCCAGCTTTTTGCAGAATTCATGGGGTTTATTCAGGAACAAGGAATTGACAAATTGTAAACATTTGTTCCACATATTATCAATGGAAAATACTCCTATTCAGGAGTTTTGTTTTCTGTAAGAAAGTGGCTTCAATTAGCAGTGATAAACATTTCTCAAAGCTCCTTGCTATCAGTTCTCTGCAACTCATCAACCCCATGTTTCTAGTGTAAATACATTTAACCGCTAATACCATTGCACAATGCAGAGTTGCAGATTTCCATTGGTATTCAAGGTCAACAGTTAGAAGACATATCTGACAACTACTGCAGAGTCTTTACAAGCCAGGATTTCCCATAAGCCAGCCAAAAAACCTGGCCATGGCATTCTGTAGACTCACCAGTGGATTTCCCATGCTAGTTGGTGGCAGTCACTTTTGATGAATTATATGCAGGTGTAGTACACTGCAACAGTAATTTACTTAAAGAATATTCCAGACACCAACATAACTTCATCTTAATGAAGTTGTTATGGTGTCAGGAGACCCCTAGTGGCACTCTCACCTCAAAGGGGTTAAACTGTCTTCGAACAGTTTAACCCCTAAGTTGCCTCCAGTGGTGATGTCAACTCCCCTCAGGCGACATCCGTTTCAGAAATTTTACAATCCGGAGGCGCAGAGTGCAGCTGGGCAGGAGCACCGCTAATTGGCTGAGAGAGGTCAGCTGACACTCTCAGCCAAGCAGTGACTCCCCATTTACAATTCTGGCCTGGAAAGAAACGTACGCTTCGCAAGTTAGTTTTAGCAATATCCAATTCACACTTTCTGAAAGTGAAATATCAGAAGCCCGGTGCCACCTGGTGGAGTGGACATCGCCGCTGCAGGCAATTTAGGGATTAGATGAAGTTGTTTTGGTCCCTGAAGTGTCTCTTTAACAGCAGTAGAGAAAGGGCCTATGTGATGCTTCAGTAGCACCAGGGCAGTGTTAGAATTATAATAGGCAATCCGACAGACTCTTCTACCCACCTGACACATTTTTGCACTTGGCAAAACCTACAGTATAAGCTGGAATGTGCTGGGAGGCTGGAGATGTGATGAACTGGCTGATATAGCACCTTGCACTGGAAGCATTACTTGGCCCCAGACTGCAATCTAATGGCCTGCATGGAGCCCATTGTACAATGCAGCCAATTATAAATAGATTTGTATAGCACATAAACAGAGTAAACCAAGTGCTGACGTGATTTCTATCCTACATTGGCAATGGCACCCCATTAGTTTTAGGACTTACCATTTCACATGATGACTGAGCTTTGTTGGAACGGTGGTCTAGAATATTAGTTATCAATATTAGCTGCCACTAGCATATCATACAGATTGCATTATAAATTTTTATCTGATGTTTAGTGATGTTTTGTAACCTTAATTTACACAAAAGCAAATGTAGTTATCTATTTACATAGTTGTCTAGGTTGAAAAAAGACTAAAGTCCATCAAGTTAAACCATGAAGCCCATTCTTTTATGCTGTTTATCCAAAAGGAGGCACCTCTCCTCCAAATTGTAACAATTTCCAATTATGCCACAAATAGGGGAAACCATTCCTTCCTGACTCCTGAATAGCAATCAGATTTCTCCTTGGATTAACAACCTGGTTACATACATATCAATTATATCTTGAATATTCTGTTTATGCAAAAAAAAATCCAAGCCTTTTTTTCAGTTTATCTATAGTATCTGATAACACAACCTCTTTAGGCAGAGAATTCTACATCTTTATTGTTCTTCCTGTAAAGAACGTTTCCTCTGCTGTAAGCAAAAATGCCCTTTTTCCAGTCTCAATGGGTGACCTAATCTGTTGTACATTCCTGCTAACAAACAGTTTAGTACATAGCGGTTTGTACTGACCCTGTAAATATTTGTATAGTGCTATCCTAAACCCTCCGAGGCACCTTTTTATTTTTTATAAAGAAAACAATTCAGGTTTTTCTAGCCTCATAACTAATGTTTTTGACCCCCTTACTAGTTTTGTAGCACTTTCTCTAGTTCTACAATATCATTCTTTAAAGCGGCACTGTCATGGCCGAATCCCGCCATGACAGTGCCGCTTTAAAGAATGATATTGTAGAATTAGAGATAGTGGAGGCGGGAGGGGGGTTAAAAAAATTTTTTAAACCCCCTCCCGCCTCCACTATCTCTAATTGACCCCTTAGTCACCCCCAAATGCCCCTAAGCCCCCCATATTACCTATTTTTTATTCTTTATTTTCTGCCTCGATCTTTATTCAGGGCGCTGCCATCTTTGTGTGGGTAGAGGAAGTCCCTGTGGGACACGTCATCTGCCCACACTAGATAGACTGTGAGATTCCCGTACATGCCCAGTGAAACACCTGGACATGCGAACGGAAATTTCATCTATTCATTCATCAGAAAGACGAATGAATGAATAGAAATGTCAGAAGAACAAACTAACACCTGGGCGGCGGGTGGGGGCCATAAGTCAAATTCCCACCCCCATCAAAGGTGACTAGAGATCCCCAAGCCCCTAGTCACCCACCCCCCCACCCAAATAAAAAGGCCCCTACCTACCCCTTCACCCTAAAAAATAGTGAGGGGGGAATAAAATTACTAACCTGTAAAGTAAAATTAAAATTACCATTACAAAATTACCCGAAAAAGGCCAAATAAAAAACCATCATACATGTTGAACTTAAAATAAAATAAAAAACCCGAGCGCCAAAAAAAAACCTGACGGAAAAAAAAAAACCCCGAGCGCAAAAAACCCCGAGCTCCGCAGGGCAGGGGAAGGCTTATAAAGCCTTGCCCGCCCTGCAATTAGGCTAAGAACACTCTGATTGGTGGGTTTAAGCCAATCAGAGTGCTCTGTGTTATTTTACACAGCGTGGGAAAATTCCAAAGAACATTCCCACGCTGTGTAAAATGACACAGAGCACTGTGATTGGATGGCTTGAAATCCATCCAATCACAGTGCTCTGTGTCATTTTACACAGCATTGGAAAGTTCTTTGGAATTTTCCCACGCTGTGTAAAATGACACAGAGCACTCTGATTGGATGGCTTGAAATCCATCCAATCACAGTGCTCTGTGTCATTTTACACAGCATGGGAAAGTTCTTTGGAATTTTCCCACGCTGTGTAAAATGACACAGAGCACTGTGATAGGATGGATTTCAAGCCACCCAATCACAATGCTCTGTGTCATTTTACACAGCGTAGGAAAGTTCTTTGGAGGACCCCTAGTCACCTTTGATATGGGGGGGGGATTTGACTTAGTGCCCCCACCTGCCGCCCAGGGGTGGGGGCCGGGGGGGAGGACAGTAGGTCCCCCCCTCATTATCTTTATGGCCCCCACCCACCACCCAGGGATGGGGGCCATGGGGGGAAGGACAGTAGGTCCCCCCCTCATTATCATTTGGCCACCACCCGCCGCCCAGGGGTGGGGGCCTGGGGGGGAGGACAGTAGGTCCTCCCCCCTCATTATCATTATGGCCCCCACCCGCCGCCCAGGGGTGGGGGCCAGGCGGGGAAGACAGTAGATCCCCCCCCTCATTATCATTATGGCCCCCACCTACCGCCCAGGGTCCCTCCCCTCATTATCATTATGGCCCCCACCGCCGCCCAGGGTTGGGGTGGGGGGGATGACATTAGGTCCAGTAGGACACCCTTCCTCATTGTAATTTATGGGACAATAGGTCTCCCCCCTTATTTTACTTTAGGGCCCCCATCCGTCTTTTAGGGGTGGGGGCCAATAGGTTTTTATTTTTTTTTTACAGTGAGCAGCCACAGGCTTATTAGTAAATGTGGCTGAAAGACCAATTTAGGTATTTTAGCATTTTAGTAGATATCTCCATGATACCGTGGGAATTAGGATGTTATCTACTAAGCGATGCAGCCGCACACGAATCAGATCGGAGTTTCATTCATTCGAATGAAATTCCGATACGAACAAAGTGCCGAATTGAGTTCTAAAAGAAACGAACATACTGTTCTCATTCAGTTAGAACGCAATTCGGCAGTTTCATCGTGGGAACACAGAGGAAAGGTAAGAATTATGGGCTAATTGCTCTCACCAGCGGAAATGAAGCACACTTTGCTCCTCCGCTGGTCAGAGCTGGTCAAGCGGAGGAAACCTCCATAAGGCAAAGAGTCCCTACATTGTCCTATGATTTTAAAGAAAACTAAAGAAGACAGGAAGAAAAGAAGAACAGATACTGAGAGAGGGGAAGAAGAGGAAGAGATTGAGGAAAGGTAAGTTCGGCATGACATTGCCGCTTTAAAACTGGTGCCCACACTTGCACCACATATGAAAGGTGAGGTCTTACCATTGATTTGTAAAGAAGCAAGATTGTATCATGTGAATTAAAACCCCCTTTTATACACAGCAGACCAGCATTGCATTGTTTGTGAGCTATAAATTATCCCAAGTCCTTTTCATTTTGCGTTATCCCTAACTCAACCCCATTTAATGTATAAGTGACTTTTGGATTCCTTATTGAAAAATGCATAACTTTGCATTTATCTATATTGAATCTCACCTGACACTTGGCTGCCTAGTCTGTATAGGCACCTTGGAGTCTGCATTATAGAGCCTAATACAGTTCTATACTTGAGTTGGATTTCTTACATTCCACTATGTATGTTTGTTTTTAGTTCTTTTAGATCTAAATTTCGTCCTTCTCCTGTGTATAAGTATACAATTTGTGTGTTCACTGAAGGGTGTAACTACTTGCTTTACTGTGTACACAGTTTTAAGGTGATAGGGGAAATACCTTTTGTTACACCAAAACACTAGACACATGTATTAGAAGCTCCAACACACCTTATATTCTATTTATTATATTAATATAAAGACATACTAAACCCCTTTTCTAAAGTCTCAAGAATCCCAATTTTGTCAAACTGCTCCTTGTATACCAATATCTCAATCTCCCCCCCTTATCCAACACAAGCTTCTTGTTAAGTCTGGCAATCTTACCACTCCCACTTCCCCATTTCCACAGCTGAAATCCCTCTTTTCTATACGATCTACCACGTTTACTCTTTGACCCTACTACTAGTTTAAAGCCTCTTCCAACCTACTAGCCATCTTCCATTCAGGTGCAATCGATCACAACTATAGAGATTGTAACCAAGTGCAAAATGGGCCCAGTGTTCTAAGAACCCAAAACCCTCCTTTCCTGACCATTATACATGGCAGCATTTACTCATGGGTTAGCTCCTCCACCCACAGCAGAAAGGACATGAAACAGAACTCTGAAACTGGTATAAATAGATCCTCCCCTTTCCCATCAGGCAGTCTTTTTTCCTGCAGGCCTAGATTTTCTTTTATGCTCACCAGGCAATATTTGTGTAGCTCTGCCGGGGTTCAGCCTCTAAGCCCTGAAGACCCAGCAAAGCACTATTGTAAGGTAGCCAGCCTGGGTACCCCCTGTAGTGATCGGGGGTCTGACCCAACCTCTCCCTCTGGGTATGAAAATGGTTCAGCCTCTTATCCCTGAAGACCCAGCAACAGGCCAGCTTGGGTACCCCCTCAGGGGATGAATGTGATATACTGCCTACATGAAGCCAGGCCAGGGTTCAGCCTCTTATCCCTGAAGACCCAGCAAACAGCACATCTGTAAGAGTTGCCAACCTACTTCAGCAACCAGGGGTCTGACCTATCTCTCTCTCACAAGTAATGACAGCGGTCCACTGCATACATGAGGCCCAGCCAGTCTAAGCCTTTATCCCTGAAGACCAAGCAAACAGCACTTCCATAAGGTGACTACCTGGGTATACCTATTCTATGTATTCCACTTGGGTTTGGTTTACACCTTCTCCCACTGGTGATGATGAACGGCATATGGGGTACAGATGGAAGCCTATAGTTTAAACAGTTTATGCTGTCAGTTGTTCAAATCCTCATTTGGCCGCTGAAACACAGGCCTGCAACTGTTCAGGTAAGTGCATTAGTAATTTAGATTAAAACTAGTATAGGCACCTGGGTCTCTGCTTTTTCAGTCCCTCCCAGCTGCTTACATTAGGCTTCCTTCTAACAAATAGGTCACATTTAGGAGGTTTGTGTGGTGAGCATTTAGGTAAGTTTATACATGCTTGGTGCAAAAGAGTGCTGATAATGCATGGAGGCATTGTGAAAAAGAGTGCTGATAATGCAATGAGGCATTGTGAAAAAGAGTGCTAATAATGGATATCCTGGCTGTATAAAGTCTGCTGGAATTCCAGAGTCCTGAAGACAGAGTAATATCCAAGGTAAGAAAACTTTCCTGGATGTCTGATTGAAGTACACACATGTATATGACAGGTTTTAAAACCTAAAAATAAGTCCACACACACACTTTGTTTTAACAAGGCATGTGGCATTGATTGCTGTTATCTGTGAATTATCGTAAGCAGGCTTTTCCAGAGAGTGGTAGAATTTCTGCATATGAGATCTCTGGACCTCAGTATCTGTACATGAACTGGTTGTGTTAACTGGCTGCTAGAGTAAATATTCCCTTCCCCCCCCTACAATGTGTTCAGTCACTATTTTCTCTACAAATTCCTCCCATCCTGCTAGCCTCCCCCCTTCCCATTGAGCAAGCCTCATGTAACAACCTGTGTTAAAAGAACAGCTTCCTTTATTAAACTCCTCCCCCACTTCCTTTGTGCAAAGTAACAGCTATGTGCCACGTGTAACAAAATGGAGAATCACTGTTAAAGTAACTACTACTCACTTCCCCCCTCCCATCGTGTAACCAAGATGGAGCCGAAATATGGGTGGGAGAACTCTGTAATGACAACACTACATCCTGTAGGGGGGGTTTAGACAAGACCCCTTAGAATGTTAACCAATTGTTGAATGAATACTGTATGTTAACTGTGACTCTGTATATGATGTATTTCTGTTTTAAAAGGGGATCCCACTCCAGGGAATAAGGCATTCCTCAGGTTTTTCACTGATCAGAAACTTTGTCTCCGGTGTGAATTACTTCTAGGAAAAGCGTGCACGCATTAATTAATCAATTTGGAAGGAGTAGATAGACAAATAATCAAAGTTTTATTTGATCTAAAACAGTTGACGCCCAAGCAGGGACTGGAGTTTTTTTTTTGTTATTCTGCTAGAAGCCGTAAACATTCAGGACCGGAGAAAAGACTCCCAGAGATTGGAAAAAGAGCCTGATCACCTCTGCATATGGTAAATTAGTTACTTAC